CTGTTGAATCGGTTCCGTCTTCTTCGCACGCGACGCATCCACCTGAAATGGCGACGCGTGCGTGTTATTTCATTACCATTTTTTATTATACACATAATAATTATTATTTATACTATATATGTATATATTATTAATATACATATACTATTTATCATTATTATTATTACTATTACTATTATTATTATTATTACTATTATTACTGCTTCTAACAGCTTCAAACCACTACCACACCCTCCTGCAGTCACTATAACATAACAACAATAAATAATAATAATAACAATAATAAACAATAATAAATAATAACAATAATAATAATAAATAATAACAATAATAAATAATAATAATAAATAATAACTCACCTGGCTGTGAATCGCCTTCCTCTTATGTGCCAACGTGCCCGCAGCTCGTAATTGGTTAAACAGAATATTCTTCAATTTAGCTTTATCATTTTTAATGAAATTTACTATCTTCGCTAAATATTCCACTCGAGACCCTTCGCTAAGCTCCGCCCACTCCTGGTAACTATCAAACGGCAATTCGATATCAAACAGTGTCTTGACAGCCTCCTTGACTGCCTGAAATTACAATAATAATAAATACAATAACAATATATAATAATAATAAATAATATTAAATATAATAATAAATAATAAAAATAATAAAAAATAATACCAAAACATTCGCATCCATATCATCACAGCAGCACATCGAAATATAATCGACTGCTTCCGGATGGTATTTCCCCAATAGAGCCATTACTGCGCGGAAATCGTCCCAGCTGAATAGTTATTACAATAATAAATATAATAATAAATAATAATAAATATATTAAATATAATAAATAATAAACATAACAAAATAATAATAAATAATTCCCTAACCAAGTGGTGAAATTGGTCAACTTCAATTTATACGGCTCCAGAGACTGCTGGCAAAACCGCCACAGTCTATACCTGAAATATTTATTATTATATAATAATAATAAATATATAATAATAAATATAATAAATACATAAAATAACAATAAAAATAATAAATATAATAATAAATAATAATTAAAATACAACTAAACACTCACTTCTCATCGAATTTTGCTTCTTCCTCAATATCCAGATCGCATCTTCAACAAAATATTAAATACAATAACAATATAATAAATATAATAAATAATAATAAATATAATAAATAATAATAATAA